CGAGACAGGAGGTTAGGAACTGTTCCCCTCGAAATCCACGTCCTAGATTACCTTCGCCGCGATGGCTTCAAGCACCCCAATATTGTCGAAATGGCCGATTTTTTCGAGGACGATATCAACTACTACATTGAAATGATACCGCATGGCCTGCCAGGCATGGATTTGTTTGACTACATTGAGCTACGGGTTAACATGGAAGAGAAGGAGTGCCGAAAGATTTTTGTTCAAGTGGCTGAAGCGATACACCACCTGCACACGAAGGCAAAGGTTGTACATCGCGACATCAAGGACGAGAACGTGGTATTGGATGGCGAAGGCAACATCAAGCTCATTGATTTCGGCAGTGCAGCATATATTAAGAGCGGGCCTTTTGACGTCTTTGTTGGTACCATCGGTACGTTATTTTTTGCTTTTTAACCCCTGAGATTTCCGTCCACATACTAACGATGCCCTAAATAGACTACGCCGCCCCCGAAGTTCTAGCCGGCAAAGCCTACCGCGGCAAAGAACAAGACGTCTGGGCCCTAGGCATCCTCCTCTACACCATCATCTACAAGGAAAACCCCTTCTACTCGATTGACGAAATCATGGACCACGACCTCCGCGTCCCTTGGGTCATGTCCGAAGAAAGTATTGATTTGGTCCGCTTGATGCTGGACCGTGATGTCGAAAAGAGGATTACGATTAGTATGGTGCTGGAGCACCCGTGGTGTAAGGGTGTCAGTGGTGGTGAGGTGACGCCGACTGCTGCTACGGCACCGACTGCCGCGCTGCCGGCGCCTGCGAGTACGATTGCTTCAGGTGTTTTGGGTGAGGTAGATGGATAGATGGCATGAAAGAGAAAGAAAAGAAAAACATTCACCCCGGTTTAGAGAGACAGATGGTGTTCGGAGAGGGGGACGAGCAATATAGAAAATGACCTCCTTTTTTCTCTTTCCTTTCTTCTCTTCCTTCCCCCCCCCTTCTCTTACGACCTTTTCTTCTTTCATTTTTCATTTCTTCTTTTGAATGGCACATTTTTTTTGATACCTTCATTACTTTCGCTTTTTCCACAACTTTTTCGATCGTGGTATTAAAGGAATTTGGGCATATTAGGATAGCTCTAGGGACAAATACATGGCAAAATTTCAGTGAGTTACAATGCATGACCTTTGTCTTTTCGTTTGATAGATGGGGGAGTGGATATATAGAGACAGGACTGAGTCAGGACATTCGCTTTGAAATTTCAACGTTTTATAGAAGATTTACAGGTTCATGGATATTTGATTGGTGATTTTCTTTTTCTTCTTTCCATGTTTCATCTTTTCATCATCGAAGCTAGAATCCAAAGAAAAGGTTCTCTTACTAATCGTACAGTTGATGCGTTTCTTACAATGCAATAAAAAAAGAGGGCCAATATGGGAGCCCCTGCGCATGTGGAACTAACTCGTTCAAGAGTGGAATTGGAATACCCTGCCGCAACAAAAAAACGCTCTAGCTCACCCATGCCTATAGAAAACACGCCTTCATATTGCAGTGGAAGGAAAAATCAAATAAATGGACTGACATTTCATCACCTACTGCTGTCCAGATCCTTGAATGTGGCTGGGCTGGGTGGTACAAGAGGGCCCTTGACACCATCATCACCCTTTGGTTCTATGTATCCGGGCGCCTTGCCGTACTCGCCCGAGAAGTACTTGTGGAAATCTTGATTGTCCTCAAAGGGCCTAGGACCAAGCAGCCTGATCATGTCTTCGCGGCCGAGCATTTCCTTCCTGAGCAGCTCTTCAGCGACCAAGCCTACTTCGTGCTTCTTCTCGGTGAGCAAGTCTTTGCATTGCTTGTAGGCCTCATCTACGATACGCTTGACTTCCATGTCAATGTTCTTGGCTGTGTCTTCGGAGAAGGGCTTGGTGAGTTGCTGGCCCTCGCCGTCCTCAAAGTAGATGTAGCCAATCTTCTTACTCATTCCCCATTTGCTGACCATTGCAGTGGCCATCTGGGTGACCTTACGGAAATCGTCAGACGCACCAGATGTGACGGTGTCGAAGTGGAGTTCTTCAGAAACACGTCCGCCGAGTGTCATCGCCATACGGTCCATGAGCTGGTTTACGTTCATAAGGTAAGTGTCACCGTTAGGAAGATATTGGGCATAGCCGAGTGCACCTTGGCCACGCGGGATAATGGAGACCTTGAGAAGAGGATCCGCCCACTTGAAGTACCAACCGCAGATAGCGTGGCCAGCTTCATGGTAAGCGACAGTCTTTTTCTCTTCGGGCTTGAGGACGAGAGACTTCTTCTCAAGACCGCCAATGACTCGCTCGATGGCCTGTTCGAAATGCACCATGGCGACAGTATCCGCGTTCGCACGGGCGGCTGACAAGTATTAGCAATAGAATGTGTAATCAGGATGTAGAATTCTTACCAATCAAAGCAGCTTCGTTGACGCAGTTGGCAATGTCAGCACCAGAAAAGCCTGGTGTCAAAGCTGCTAGCCTGCCCTTCAGAAACTCCATGTCTTCCTTGGTGACAATTTTCTTCAGATGGACACCAAATATCTGGCCACGGCCATCCATAGTGGGCTTGTCAATGTTGATATGCCTATCGAAACGACCCGGTCGCATGAGGGCCTTGTCCAGAACGTCCGGTCGATTGGTGCCTGCAAGGACAACTACTTGCTCAGTGGTATTGAAACCATCCATCTCGGTGAGGATCTGATTGAGGGTGGCTTCACGCTCGTCGTTGCCACCACCAAAGTTTTGCTTCGAACGAGCACGACCAATAGCATCGATTTCATCAATGAAAATGATGCATGGCGTACTCTTACGCGCATTGGCAAACAAATCTCTGACTCGTGAAGCACCAACACCTACGAACATCTCGACGAACTCGGATCCACTAACACTGAAGAAGGGTACGCCCGACTCTCCAGCGGTAGCCTTGGCAAGGAGTGTCTTACCAGTACCTGGGGATCCGGAGAGAATGGCACCACGAGGGATCTTTGCGCCGAGCTTCTGGAATCGGCCAGGATCCTTAAGGAAAGACACAAACTCCATAATCTCCTGCTTGGCCTCATCCATACCAGCAACGTCACTAAACTTAACCTTGACGTCTGTCTCGTGGTTGAACTTCTTAGCGCGGCTCTTGCCCATACCAAAGACACCACCACCTCCTCCTGCACCGCCTCCTGCACGCCTTGTAAAGTAGAAGAGTGCTCCAAGAAGGAGAATGGTAGGGCCAAATGACAAGAAAGTGCCAAACCAGGAGATCTCGTTTGAGTAGGCGACAGGAATGCGTTCAGAGCTGGGGATGCCAAGTTCATATTGAGCGTCGTCCATTTTGCGTTCAAAAGCCTCGACGGAGCCAATGGTGAAGTAGTAGTAGAAGTTCTGGTTAACGGAGGGAGAGTCGGGGTACATGGAAGCAACAGCCTCGCGATGTAGGTGCACCTTTGCCTTGTTGCCGTTGAGGATGACAATCTTCTCGACCAGGCCCTTGTCTAAGAAGGTAGTCCGGAACTCCTGCCATGTAATCTCCTTGGTGTTCTCGCCTGGGAAGACCATCTTGTAGGTAAGGTATGCGAGGAAAGCACTGATAAGTAGTGTGTTTGTGTCCATACCGCCGCCAAATTGGGGTCCGGGTGGTCCACCAGCACCACCCTTGGAGCCCTTGCCTGGGCCTGGGTCGTGTGCACCCGACTTTTGCTGTGGCTCTTGCGGGTTATCATTGTTGAACTTTTGCTGCTCGGCGGCCTTGCGGGCCATGTTGGTGGTTAAGCGCGAGATCTTCGCCGCCGTGGCCAGATCCAGCTTCTCGCCTCTTTCTAGCTTGTCCATCTCTAGGCGGAGCTCGGGTGGTATGCCGTTTCGCTTGATTTCTTCCATTGCGTCTTTGATGTTCTGCTTCTGAGCCTTCGGAACGCCCATGGACACAAATGACACCAGCTGATCCAGCATCTTTTCCTCCTCCGGGGTCAGCTTAGCCATCTGAGGCTGTCCTTGGCTATCCTTGTCTGTTCCTGAAGGTTCATTGGAACCAGGTCTGTCGGAATGACCATCCTTCTGTACCGAGTCATCGTTCTTCTTGTTCTTTGGCTCTTCTGGTGGTCCTGTCGCAAATCTCCGAGCGCGTTGCTGGGTGTATATACATTGTGGCAGTGGCGCGCGTATCCGTAATGTGCGTGGTGCTCTTGTGACGGCAGCGTTGAGGTAGGGTCGGGAAAGGCGGGCGAGGTTGCCGGATTGTCGGAGGAGGGTTGACATGGCAGCGGTGGCCTAGGATGGGGGAGGGGCTACAATAAGTGACTCGGGATTGGGGTATAATACAGTGAAGGTGGGGAAAGAAAAAGAATTAAGACAGCAGGTGACCGGAAAATCCGCGCCTGAATGGATTGGACTGTACTGCCGCGCGCTGGCAGGAGGAGAGTCTTTGTGGCGGGTGCGCCCTTGATGGCAAAAGCTAAGATATGACAGAATCATCGAAGTTCCTCGCATCGCCGACACGCCGACTGACTAAGCGGGGTCCGGCGGCGAGTGTCAGCGCAGTTGACTTAGCTTATTACTAAGCTAAGCCTTGGCACGGATATCAGGTTAGCGTGAACGCTAAATATCGTGCTTTACTTTAACTTCACACAAATCAGAGATCACGTATGCATGGCTGACGACAAAATGTGATTATATTAATTCCAAATGTAGAATTCATTCCATTGGAACTAGCATTGAATGTAGAGGTTGAGTTGGCTTATGTAACACACCTGCCCCATCTAACCTCGACCATGGTAGCCGGGACCAACCCTTACCAAATCTCTACGTGCATACTGCTATGCCTGCCTAGGGTCCACGATACTGCTGCCTAAAAGTGCGTCCTCCGCTCTCTCACTAACCGGACTGAGCTCGCCGAGACAACACAGGACTGTTGTTTCACCTTTACTCGGGCAACCATCTTGTCCTAGGCTATACGCCACACATACTAAACCTTTATCACCCCATTACTGTAACATGACCCCGAGAACCTGCGCCGGCATGACTTCATATCCACAAATCTCCCTTGCGGACCTTCCAGACGGCTCCCAGCTTCAAAAAGACTTTCTCGATACAACGTGGTTTAAGACTTATGGCCGAACACGACGATTCCCGACACCCGAATACTTACTTTCCCTCTTTCCAAAGAGCCATCAATCCAACACAATGAAATTTGAAGACCTCGGTCTTGTTGTCAAATTCGGGCAACGTATCACTACAACAGAGGCTATCAACCTTTGGGCTGTCCGCAGGATATTCCAGGAAGCTGTTCCGGTACCAGAAGTTTATGGATGGAGAGTTCTTGAAAAGGAAGGAAGGGGTCGATACGTCTTCATCTATATGCAACTCGTCCAGGGCCCCACGCTCCTAGAACGGTGGCCTGAGCTGTCTTGCGCTGACAAGCGAGCAATCTGTACTGATCTACGTGCCATGATATCTTCTCTTCGGACCCTCCGGGACAGTGAATCACAGAAAATCATTGGTAAGTGTTTTAGGTAGTTAGGTGTGACCCCGCTAAATGCTTACAGGAACTATATGTCATGGTGCTGGGGAAGATATCTGCGTGAAAGAAATACCTTCGGTAAGGCCGTTTCCCTCTCGAGCTGAGTTCCACGACTGGCTTTCTTGGTCGTGGCGCCAATGCGCTCCAGATCCACAAAGCATCCCGGATCCATGGAGGGACTGCCTTCCAGACGATGGGCCAATTACTTTTACGCATGGTGATCTACATCGTGGTAACATCATTGTCAGCGCCACGAGTCCTGCTAAGGTTGTCGCAATCATTGATTGGCAATTGTCAGGTTGGTATCCGGACTATTGGGAATACTGTAAAGCTTTGTTCACAGCAGAATGGGGCAAAGAGTGGTGGGACTATATCCATCAGTTCTTGGATTCTTACCCACCAGAGTTCGAGACATTTGATTTCTACATGCGCACCCTCGGCATATTTTAAATTTACCACTTTTAGCGGAGGTTTCATCTTCCATAGCACATCAATGGGCTCAGTAATAAAAGTCAAATGAATTGAGAGTACCCGTAAACCTAATAGCAAACCAAACCAAACTCCATAAAGACTTAAGCCTGCTCACTCCTGCCGAACCCACTTTGTACCGTCTCAGGGCCTGTGTTGGTCGTACTGGCTATCCTCTGACCAACCAGTTGTGGTTGATACAGACCACTGTTGGTTTTTTTGCGCATCAGCAACGGATCGTAGTCCAATGCCAACTTGCGGTGGGTCTTGGTTTGACTGAACTACGTCTATAGCCGCTTCATCAAGGTATCCGAGAGCAACAAGACGACGAACATATTCCAACATCATGTCTGGCAGTCATAACTCGCCGTCTGTATCTGTTAGCAGACGCACATTTCGTTAAGAGTCTTACTCTACACTTACCGTCAGGAAGTCTGGGTTAGCTCTGGGCGGCTGGATCTGTGTCGCTGCCCTCTCAAGATTGTTTCGTGGCATGTCCTGCGCTCCAGGGTTGCTTCCTGAGTGATGCAAATGCTCTGCCAAGACGGACCCGATTGGGATCACCTGTTTGATACGTTGGGTAGCCTCTGGTTTGTACTTGCGTTTGAATTCCAGCTTGAATCCAAACGGGGGACCACCAATCACATGGATGATGGTTCCCTCCGGAGCATCTTCTTCCTCAGGAACCCATATACTAAAGTGGGCACGTCAACCTTGCGGAGCCGCGTAAATGATGAGGAATATGAGGCGAGAAGACATGGTCGATGGTAGTAGTAACGATTTTCGTGAGATCTGATGTTGGAGAGAGAAGAGATTTGAATGAAGATCTAAGAAGGTAGTGGCTGTTTGATAAAAGCCAGACCATCGAGACTTGCTTTATCGATTGGAGTGGGCAGCTTCCCCTCGACAGTCACCGCCTACGAAGTACCTCACCCACCTTTACTAGTGATTCCGGCTATGGTAAACGTAAGTGAAGCAGCTGATGCTGCCTAGGCAGTGACTTCCGAGGGAAAGCTGCCTTCGTCGTAATCGTAGTTCGCTAGTCCGGTGTCCTCGTCACAATCATAATCGATCTATTGTATCCAATAAGAGTGTGCCTCATTCACCGATACGCTGTATCGCAACGAGAACTCCAGACCCAATTGGTCCGTAGGCGCACTTACAGACCCGATACGTGATCACACTGTATGGTTATGATATTTTAGACTTAACTGGTAGGCTCTTAGTGAAAATAATTGGCCTGCTATCAGATTGCGGCGCAGTCATCGTGTATGTGTGATGCAAGTATGTGTAGCACCGAGCTCATAAACTGTGCCGTACAACTTTCACAAACAGTACGCAACTGTTGTACACAAGTTTCCCTAAGAATCTCCTAAGAATACTCGTGTCCCACACGAATGAACCAAAGTGCCAGCAGTTCCCAAACTATCGAAAAGGCTTGCGGTATTAAATATAACGGCATTCAAGTCGAGCCATACCGGTTTTTATACGATAATCGTGCTGATCAATTCGAGAGTCCACCGATAAGTTGTGATAGCTATGGTCGAGAGCTATTTGTCGCTGTTTGAGTGATCCTGTCGTTATGAAGATTGCCTTCTAGGGGCATCCTCATATCTAGACTAAGAGACGTCGAAGATGTCTCCACAGAGTAACCTATTCCATTTCTCTGGCTCGTTCCCTTGACTAAGGCTGTACTCAAGCCCCCACTACAGACAGTAACCATTGCGGTGACGTCTATAGCGACTTGACTCGCGCGTGCCTTACATCAAACGCACACCCCCTTTCTCGTTTCTTCCCCAACGATTCACACAACATCACTGGCCTGCTATGGCTTAGAATCATGTGCGTATTTATACCGGGAATACCCAACTCTTAGTTTTTGGGTTACAAGAGAAAGGATATTGGAATTTTAACTATTGGGATTTCTTGGTATGCCGCAATGTTTTATTATTCAGCCTTTGGGTTATTGAGACTACATGATTTTAAGAATGTGCTACTACCTATTGAACCAGGCTTGTTGTGTCCATAGCCAGTCACTGTCAGAAGACTGTTATGTACCATGGTTCGAAAACGCACACGTGCAATCCGAAGGAGCCGACAGGGCACCTACAAAGTCAAACAAACAGAAAGGTATAGATTCAGGTCGTGGTTGTACAGTCTATTTGTCGTCTCGCTACAATGACTAGCATGTTGCGTGTATCCTCCACTTGAGTCTTTCAACGACATGCACTACACTCCATCAAGCCAGCCTCTTGTCACTTCTGCTCAGTGCATTTACTACTCCTCATCGGCGTACAGAGCACGGCCAGGCTTCGAGTTGAGGAATTCGTTCCTAGTCTCACCGTTAGCCTTCCGGAACACCTATGGTTTCGTCCTACCCATCGTCTTTCCATTTCACATCTGAGCCCAACGTCATGAACTCACCTCTCGATTGCCCACTGCATCACTCCGTATCCGAGAACTAGCGGGGGAACGATGTAGAGAACCTGGTTCTTGGATCGGCGCACAACGTTCCAGAAGCCCTTGCTGAGGAAGTTGGCCATGGGGCGCTGTCGGTTGGGGCTCAGCTGGTAGGTGACGATGCCCTTTCCGGGTCGGCCACCGCCCTCGTAGGGGTTACCCCATGCGCCGATGTGCCATCTATGCTATCGTCAGCATGCGCTCCACTCTAGTCGGCCATGCACACGTGTGCCGTCTATGGAATGCGGGTTGGGGCGCGGAATCTTTCGAGGCGGGTGCGGGTGCCGCGGCGTGCGGGGAGGGCCGAGACATACGTGGTCTTGGTCTTTGCCTGGGATTCGGGTCCGAGAGCCATTGTGAAGATGTCAGGTGCGGGTGTGGACGTGCAATGGGATGAGCGGTCGGTCGTGACGATGTTGCTAGAAAGATGCAATCCGAGCTGCGATGCCAAGCCTTTTTGTGCTCTAGTCTATATCAGGGAAGAGCTGGGACAGGCGAATCAGCTTAATGCTATTGGTCAATTCGTCGATGAACGAACAACCTGTACTTGGTGAGTAGTACATCACTTACTTGAGATATTCTGTATCTCACTCACACATTCTTCAAACAGAGGGAAGAGAAATAAAATAGTGCTACTTGCCGCCATCCTTCCCACCTTGGCTAGCGATTGCGCCACGACGCCCACCATGCTGTTTGTATTCCCCGTACGTCTCTGGCATCTTGTGATTTGTTGATATAGCGTAGACTCCTTTAGTGGATTATATCTTTTTTTGGTACGTATTGGCTGTTCTCTTGTGAAGGTATTGAGTCAGTCCGGAAACACCTAATAGGTAAGAGCAAAATGAACTTCGAGTGAAGGGCGACTTATATTCCCGTGATACTGAGACCTTGTCTAGTAGCCTCACGTCAAATTCAACATCAGACAAACGTATATGGTTCTCAGAGTCCTTCATCACTGTATCATATATAAGATTTTAACGCACAGGATTTTATTACACGCTAACTCCTAAACCCCAAAGGCCCACGCATCATCCAGCTCTCTACTGAGTTATCACAACGCCCTCGTTCATGATAATCCCATAAGTGACAGTCCGACTCAGTCTCTGTGGGCAGCCCTCATAACTTTTATAAATTGTGGCATTATAAAAGTTACACATCTCGTCGATAACGGGACGAGCGTTGTAAAGATCATTCACGGTACAATGACCCGTGCCGCCCAGTCCGGGAGGGACAGTACAGGGCTCGATCAACTTCTCATTGTCAGATTTCAAGACTTGTAGCTGGTAAAGAGCGGAAGGTGTGGAAGGAATGTACCTTAGAGTACTTGTAGTGGTTTACGCAGTGGCAGGCAAAGTCTTCGGCTGCGCAGCCATCGAGCATGCTGGCTTGGACTTGGCATTCATAAATGCAACTGGGAAGCCAGCCTTTGAGCTTATTGTTGTTCCTGGTTCTTTATGTTAGCTCAAATTATAATGCAGATCCCAGATTATAAGAAACATACAAGCAGCGATATTTCGCCATATTTCCGGGAGCGGAAGCTCGCGTAATGTTGAATGTGAGTTGAGCGTTGGCAACAGCCAAGACCGAGAAAAGCGTAGCGATAGAAGTGAAGTGCATGATTAGAGTTGATTCACAGATAAAGAACGTAAAAAGTGTGGTATGATAAGTGCTGATGAGTGAGCTGTTGGTACTGCATTTGAGTTCAGGAACAACCAGTTTATATATCACGTACGACTCTAGTCTCTCCCTGAAGCTGGCCCGTGACTAAACGATCCGCAAAACATGAATGTGTATCTATGCGACTGTAAAGTTGCAAATAGAATATTCATGTTTACAAATATCACTTTTTTGTAGTAGACTTCGAGCGAAAAGCATTTGCAAGTTACACCCCTAAAATGTTTTTTTTGGGTTCAAGGTCCTATGGTCATTTCCCAATCCTGCCATTTTGTCATGGAGCTGTTTTGTTGCACGCTGAGACAACAATAATACTCATGTCTGGCGGTTTTGTGTGACAGGTTGAACTCTCTACGCGCATCGTCTCCGGTGGTGAGAAAAGCAATTCAGCCAAATGAGCTAGTCGAGATCATCCTATAACTCCGCTATGTCAGCTGTTGCACCGCAATCAATCAAGCTTGATTGGCTGTGGAATAGGAGACCTAAAACCGTTTTCGCTCAACATGATTACTTGTTTCTCGATAAAAACTATACTCCACTAAGGCACAGGATAAAAGGGAATATGAGAGCTCAAGTTGCGGTTACAAAACAATATGCTTAGCACCGTCAAACGAGCTGGTTGACCAATGGCGATATGCAAACACATCAAATGACAAAATGAACAGAGTGCGAATGGGTTTATTTAGAAAAAATCTGAATGAGAGGCTTGAAGCAAAGAAGATACATCAGGCGGAACTTGACAACGGCCGAGCATAGATGCTGTGTAGATCACCCTAGCCCGCCTCTCAAACCTAAGAAAGTCCTCCGAATCTCCGAAAAACGAGGTGGCTTTCTTATCCCTGGGGCTTAAATTGTTGCGTGCCGGATCTCGAATATACGAGAATTTGAGGATTGGGCCTAAGCAACAACTTGTTCCCCTTTCTTTTTCGATGTCATCTTTGAAACATGATTTGCTTGTTGGGTCAAAACTTGCCTATTCCTATCTAGCATCATCGAATAGATAAAGATCAGCCCTGCAAATTCAGGCAAAATCCAAACAAACCAGTGGATAGCTCCCATCCTAACGTTTGGATGTTTATGCTCGCGAAACTGTGATGCTCTATGCTAATACCTTCATATCCCTCTACCAAACGCTCTAATGCCTTTTTCGCTGCTAATTTTGTTCATCTTCCATATAAATACAGAAAAGACATATCTTAGAACGCTAAGTCTCGTGTAAGGCATCTATACAGAGCTTCCATGCTGTATGACACAGTTCCTATCTAGACATGACTTTTCAATCTTGAATAAAAGCCATCAAAAAATCAGTTTCTATAATATTCGTCGCTTTACAATAACACCTGTACAACTACCCGTCCCTACCGGTGGCTGCAAACACATACGAACATGTCGCTTTAGTGATGGCAAAACCGACCAAACTAGTTGGGCAGCGCCAACGCACCTTTACTTCCGCATAGAAAAATGCACCAGACTACGAGATCACTTGAATGATAACTTCCAACTTCTCATTCTATTGGCTAGCTTACTGAGATCTTTTTAAGAATTGTGCTCTCAAGCGCGTTTGCAAAACCATTTGGTTTATGGTGACGCAATTCCTGCATTGGCAGACTCGTATCTTGCTTGATAGCAACCTGTTTGTAGTGTTTGTAGTGAGTGCAAAAGATAGTGAGTGTGGAATTTAGCGCATCACATGTGAGGACCTCTCTCACACAACAGACCTGGTCCAACCATCTTTACAACTCACGTCATCACTGCTGAGTATCATTCTACTATCAAATTCTCTCTAAAATGAAAAAGAGCCGACCCCACCCTCGCGGTGGCTCATGTAGGCCGCACTCGAACCCTCCTGGGGGATCCAGTTCCCCTGCCAAACCAGAGTCACGACTACAGTCTTCCAATGGCAATGTGAGGGGGAACAATGACTTGGAGAAAAGTTGTGTCAGACGTCCAAGACATCGAATCAGAAACATTAGCAAAGATACATAAAGACACTATATGGAGAACAGAATGGACATTTACTAAATAGATCGTAGTAACAGCTGTAAAAGTACATATATGCTCAAAGACATTAACTTTCCCCACCTCTCCTCTCGCCCCACCATACCTCCTACTCCGCATCAGAAAACGCATCTTCATCAGAAATCTCCATCACCTCGTGTGGAACTTGCCCCTCGCCCTCACCCCTGGCCTCTCTCTCCTTCCCATCCCCCAACCCCGGCCCACTCTTCCAAAAATACTCCCACCCAATCAACCGATTCCCCCCATCAACCTCGTGATCCCCCTCATCAGCCAGTACCCCATCCCCCCCCTTCATAAACTTCCTTCCCCACCCCACATTAAGCGGCAACCCCGTATGCGCCGCGCTCGTCCCACCACGCTTCCTCACCCCACTCCAATGCTTAATGCAATGCCCCAGAACCGGCAATTTGGGCGGCAACAAGCAGCTACCCCTGCCAAACTTGCCTCGAGGCACGTTATACCGTGTGAATTTGAGGTATCGGCGGTTTGTCTCTGAGAAGTCTACGACGCGGAGATTTTCGCGCTCCATTTTATTTTCCAGGCTGCCGTCTAGTCGTACTACGTCTTCTGCGCTTAGCTTGTTCGTTTGAAGCGGGGTGTAGTGTGTGCACTTGCGCTTGCGGGCCCCGGCAGGTTTGGGGTGGTTGCGGTCGGGCAGTAAGCGGAGGGAGTAGGTGCCGATGAGGTGGTTGATGACTGGGTCGAGGATTGCGAGGCCGCGGGAGTAGAGGCGGCCGATTGTTGTTTCGATTGCGTCGAGGTGGCAGGCTGAGAGCTTGGTCTTGTAGAGTTGGTGGATGAGGGCGTCGATGAGTGGGGATTGGATGAATTTGGGGAGGCCGAATTGGAGCATGCAGTTGTACAAGTGTATTTTTTCGAGGAGGGATGAGGGTATTTCCATTGCGATTGGGCCGTTGGGGGCTGTTAAGTAGTTTTTCATCTTTTGGTTTGTAGCATGATGGGACCTTTTTGGTTGATTGTCATCGGTGGTATCCTTGCTCTTTTGACTGCTCATGTATGTTTTCACTTTGTCGAACCACGGGATGACGTATGCTTCAATCTCATCGGCGCGTATATATGCCAGTTGTTCGTCCACCGGATCCTTGAATTCTACTTGTGGATAGCAGACTGGGAGACGCAACTCGTCACTGCCGGGATTATACGTAAAATGGTCCTTAGCAAAGCTCGAACACAGAATCAGAGTCTCGCGGCAAAGAGATCTCGACAACTCCTTGTCCCCTCCTTGCTTGAACCCTTTTATCCATTCGAAATCGCTGCCCCAGCCACATTGCTTCTCGCAATATAGGGTTTTGAAGTACTGTTCTTCGATGATGATCTTCACATCTTCAGTAGACTTTGGCCCGCTCCTCTGCTTGCACACACTAATCGGATCTGGGTATGAAGGGTCTTTGTGTGCTCTCATCCATTCGTTCCTTGCCTCGTCTTCTAGGTATTCCTCGTGTACGATCACAACTCTGCCGTCTTCATCGTAAAGAACCATTTTCTTTTCTTATAGATATCAATGCGTATTAGAATAAAAATACTCAAATTTGAAGTTCAAAAGTCGCAAATGGCGTCGGTCAGCGGAACGCGATGTGTGAATACTAAAAAGGAAATGCTCGATTTCCACATTCTTTGTTCAAGTCACGGATCACAAAGACGTGTGCATTCTCCAAGGGCGTCGAGAAACAACAAGTACTTTCTTTCATGAATGCCGGATTTGAAATAAACTATATCCCAAGTACAATACTTCTTGCTAGGGATTGCTGCATCGTATCGTTTAGCGTCACGTTCGTGCATGGCTGTTGACGGACCACGAGCCATACTAATCAGAATATGAACTAGATCTTGGGGACGAAGACTGCTAATGCGCATTCGAAACTGTTTCTTCAACACTAATCACGATTGGCACCAAAAGGAATACAACTTGTAACACGAGACAGACACTATATAGAATGTACAAACTGTTCAATACGAGGGCGGGGCTGACTAAAATTACTCTCACTGACTTTCAGTAAAAGCAACGATTCTTGTAACCATGATCTACATACGACAATCCTACTTCTTTCCTCCCCCACCACAAGCCCTCTCTAGCGTCAAGAATGCGAAATGGCCACCAACAACCGGTCGGGCAAAGAACCATGGCCCAGGAAAGCCACCGTCACCCTCTGTCACGTAGAGATCGGTAAAAGCCCGGTCCGTGACCGTCTCGTTCAACCATAAGGCCACGCGATCTAGTATCTCAGAGCGCACCTTCTTACTTGCAACAGCTGCTGCCTCGAATTCCCAGTCTGATTTGGTGTAGAGATGGCGCGAGTCAAGGGGCAGACCATACTTTTGCATAACATTTCCATACCATTCGCTTTGCAACGAATAGACAGAATCTGGGATGAAGTCTTCGGTTATAGGAGTACGGCCCGAGCTGTCTTTGAAAGGTGTCAAGGGCCTTTGCGCGTCTTTGTTACCTGATGCGTAATCTAACTTGTCGACTGTTGATGACGAGTTCGTGAAGGTTGGATGGAAGCACAGGACCGCGTCTGCGTACAATGAATAGAGCGTAGTCCAACTTCCATACCAGTTATAGGCAAGCTTAGCGTGTGTGCCGTCACGTGAAATGGCATACTCCTGCCACTTCTTAATGTAGGTGTCGGAAATGTTGCGATAATGCTTCGCATCACCAGGTCGGTCCATGAGATCTGCAATCTCGCTAAAGGCTTTGATGCCAACGATCCCCTTCAGTGCAAGGTTAGTCTGAAGCGGCAGCCAGCCCGCGAAATCATCAGTGGAAACTGGTTACGTAGTTAGCCAGTGTCTCAAGTAAATGTGTGAGTACTTACGCTGATTGTGTGGTTCTAGTGTATCTTCAACGAGATAGCCAGTCCACTGTTTCCAAAGATCGTAACTCCCTTCAAGCCATTTCTTAGCCTTGTCGACTCCCTTCGTCCTTCCACCCCAGACTTCGTCGATGTACTCGATGCCATTATACGAGGCGACACTTGTAAGACCAAAAACACTCTCATCAGACTCCTTCATGTCGCCGTCATGGCCAACAGCGGACCAAATAGACTGGGCTTCTGCTTGAGAGCTGTAAGTCAACGAGTTGACTAACGCAAGACCCATGATGAGCATATCGCCACATTCCTCAACTGGCATATACTCATCCCTTCCGTCAGCATGCCCGGTAAGGTTAGGGAAGTGAGCGCCCAAGTCATGCATCGAGTATTTGTTTGGATACTGCCCACTGAGCTGATGTTCAAGAAGTGGCTCAAGAAGGTACGCCAGCCACCGGGGTTGCGTGTAGAGGAAGAATGGGAAAGCTGGGAAGATGACATCCACAGTTTGACAGTTGCCGTTTGAAGAGATCTCCTTGAGAAATAGCAATGGATTTTCCTTGGTGCCAGAAAAGCTGGTCGCGCCCATCACCTGTCGTGCAGACAGGGCAACGATGTCGACATAATTGGTAGAGCCAGATTCATAGGCGTCAATGCGCAATTGCTCGGAGTAGTTGCTGGCTAGACTGCTGGCCGTGGCAAAGTCACCATAGTGGAACTGAATAAGCTTGTCTTCGTCATGAAACCATGACTTCCACAAGGGTCGCATGAAGGTGAGGCCCCGTGCAGATGCATACTGTGTAACTGGGTCTTGAACATGGGTGAGGGTGAATAGCACGCTACCACTGGCAGCTTTCGAAGCAACACTCGACTTCCCCAGCTCGAAAGATTTCACAAAGGCGAAAACTGGCTCCTCATCCATGATGCCACGGAAGTTTCCATCCACTTCGTTCTGAAGTGTCCCAGTGCGGGCGAACCTCTGGCGGAGTAACGCGGAAGTGCCAGACTGGTGACGTACATCTGCTGGACCTGTGAAGTGCAGCTGACCCCACTCGGGCTGATCATTTGTTTCGGTGAAGAGTTGCTCGACCTGTCGCTTCACTTGCCACGTCTTCAGCTTGTCTTTCAGACCAGGCGCTACGTGCTGGAATAGACCCCATTCTATGAGACTCTCCCTCTTGCCGCTAACCCATTGACCATTCACATCAACATATATGTTGACATCAACAGTTCCTTCTACATGTATGGAGAGATACGCTGCCGGAAGAGTCTGTCGCAAGGTTGATGTGGGTGTTATGGGAGAGAGGAAGGACAAAGTGATTTCCACGTTCTCTGCTTTTCGGGATTTCTTGAATACTTGAAGCGAGTATGTGAGGTTCGTAGTGGACGCGTCGTACTTGGCACCTTTGTACACCGGATACGCTACCGTGTAACTGCACAACCAACAAGTCAGCATTGAATAAGTCACGGGTGTGGATGTCATGCATACCTTTTGTCGGTTTTATCTAAAGAATCATGGGGCCTGCCCAACAGTGGAAAGACTCGATTCTCATCGGGAAGAGATGCCAGCACGCCGAATCCAACCTATACAGAGCTTGTAAGCACAACGCCCAATGTGGCTGGGAACCATGTCGCCGTAGAGAAAGTGGGCAATCGCACCTCTGCACCAGTCCAAAACATGGGCCATTTGCTCCAAGGCTCCTCACGCGCATTCTGCAGCCATGTGCTCAAATACGGGTTTCTTACGATCAACGGAAGGACCGGAGGCTGGAGAGTCGAAGCATCGATGACGCTTGCTAGAAGCGCCGTAGCGAATATCCCGAGGGAACGCATTGGAGCGGCCCGCGCGAAATCGATTACACAGGCAAAAGGGCAAACTCGGTATTAAAACTTCAGAGACATAGATTGATGTTACACAATATACAGAGGGATCGAGGTTGTATTGAAGATGGGAGCTGTCAGCTGGGGGATGGAAGCTCGGGGTAGCTGCATTCTGCGGGGTTGTGGAGCGGCCAATGAGCGCCAGGTGCCTTGCATCATGGGTGGATCGACACTCGTCCCATGTTTCATGACGCGGCCTGACCTCTCACCGTCTCTATCGTCGCATCGAGCTCTTTGCCAAAGAAAAGTCTCCAGATGTGACGATGAACAGTTGTAGCTGGTGTATGTGGATCTCGGTATACCTCTTGTCTCAACAAGGCGCATACTATTGTAAACCAGGCGAGTCTTCCATATTGTTAGTTGATTCTGCCGCACGTGGTGTTCGTGGACTTCGATGCTTCCATACAGACGCAATGGCGCTCATCAAAGAAGATGTCATGCGGCCTCGCCCCGTGCATTTCTTTGATGAAGATGTAGATATTTCTTCTCCCGCCGGTTTCACAGGACTTGGAGTACGCATAGTCCGGTCGCCCATGGCATACACTGGATTGGGATAGTAAATGGGATGTACCAGAGAAACATTCCTCTGTGGAAGACTAGGGAGCGGTCGAATAGTCGGTTTCGTAGGCTCCAATTTGATAGAAGGTGGGATAGACAGACGGTAAGACGATGGCGGATTGGGCATAAAATTATCCATCTGTAATGCTTGCTCGTTGGACTGTTCATCTAGTTCCTCTACACTAGGGCCGGGAGTACAGTGCGGGATGTATGTACGCGGTTGCCACTGGGATGTTACCCTGCCAGAGGAACGGGCAGTTGCCGCTGATGTGTCTCTGTTACTGATTGTATTCCAGTTTTTTGTTGTATTAGTCTCTCTTTTGTCAACTCCAAAATCATTCTGCAGTCCACTGTTGACTGAACTGTAGGTCTCCTGGTCTGTACTAATGCTGCGTATACTTGCGTCATTTGGCTCAATCACCAAAAGGTCATTCTCTTCTCCAACCCCGTTATGTTCTGAGCGAAGCACCCCTAAGTCTCGTAGTTGGTCTCGAGTGCGGTAATAGTATCGGAACGTTGCGAAAGGTCGGTCCACCGGATCGACAAGGGCGAATTTGTAGAAGCGTTTAGGCTGTTCTGGTCCGGCGCGTCCAGCGTTGACGAGGCTGCTGCTTTTAGTACTGTGCCTTCTCTGTGTTCAAATCGTACTTACTTGATCCTTCTACCCTCCTTTGCATGTTGTGTATCCTCGTACATCTCTACCTGCCTCTGAATCCTCTTTCTGGCATGTGCACGATGCACTCGTATCTCCACGCAAGCTGTCTCATCAAACATATCCACCATGCCTATTCGGTGTGTGTCGTTTTCCCTCGGCGGTGCGAAACACAGCACACGTTTCTCGATCCTCTTAACTCCCTCTGCATCTTCGGGGCTCTCAAACAAGCCAAACATAGTTTTCCCTCGCCAGCCCTCTGCTTTTCCAGTCGACCAACTCACAATGTGCGCGCCATCGATATATAGCTTGAAGAAGAAGTAGTGCTCATCGGGAACTGGCGGCGAAACGGCATAGCTTATCCAGAACGCAGTGCCTGGTAGAGCGGGCACAAACACACTACATGTTGACGTCTTGCTTTCGAAAGGCTTTGGCATGAATCTTGTAATCCCGTGGTCATCTCTGGGATCGGGGTGATACTCAGGAAGCTTTTCGATATCCAATTGAGAATGGAGCGTAATGTCTACGCTGCAATGGTGCATTGCGTCGGTTGTCTGTCGGTAAAGATGAGTAAGTGATGATGCCGGCGCTGAGTATAAGTAGGTGCGACTGTATACTCGAGGTGAAGCAAACAGAAGATCCACTAGCGCGGTTAATATCTCAGTGTATATCATGTACTGTAAACGGGAGCCCAATAAGTGCGGAGGGGCAATATCGATAAGCAAAGAGCACGCAAAGCAACCCTATCTTAACCGTTCTGCACTTCTGATGGTTGGCAATACCTTATCGAACGCCAGTAAACTTACTGTTCTGCAGCTGTGACTGACGCCGTCGCCTCCATGCTACTTCGGACATCTGAGTCAACGAAGCGTCTGTTCCCCGGGACCAATAGATGCAGGCAGTGATTCCTAGGTATAAGTGTACAGGGTATTAGATGTTAATGATACAATGACCGTATTCCGGAGCCTTTTACTTTTCGCCCTCCCCAGATCCTCCATTCTTCTCCAGATAATCCTTGATACTGAACATACCCGTCCCCCTCTCGAGCGGCTTTTGTTGGTTTGGACTAGGCTTCCAGCCAATCATGTAGATGAGCCTGAAAGTAGCAGGTAGTGTTCCATCGTCATTTCCATGGAGCTCCTTGTATATTCCCTCAGCCGCAAGCAGCACATCTCGATGTATAGCGCCCTTTTCTCTCGCCAGTACGGCATTCGACTCGCCCATAGCCTGCAGATCCTTCATCAAGGAAAATGTATCAGGGAAGTCGACAACGATATCGTCGACGTCTACTGTAAGGAGGTTAAAGCCAGCTTTTTGCAGCAGGCCGCCAACATCTTTTACATCCGCCAGTGGCGAAGTATGTGTTGAGACGCCACCTCTCCGGTCAAGCTCTGCTAATTGAAGCGATGTCCGAAGCTCATATAAACTGTCACCACCCATCATGACACCAATGAAAGGACAGTCGGGTTTCAGTACGTTGTTAATCTGGGCAAGGACTGAGGGCAAGTCGTTGATCCAATGTAAACTTAGATTGCTCAGGACCGCATCAAAAGTGTCGGCCTCATAAGGCAGCAGCTCCGAGGTAGGAAGGACCTCTCGTACAATGTCGATTTCCTTGTTGAAGGGTAAGTCTGCATCTCGGTAGAGCAACGATCGAGACGAGTCAGCGGCTGTGATGGTACCGATGCGCTTGGACCGCGGGCCCTTTTCTGGTGCATCCTCGGACGGTAATGTCAATGCTCGAGAAAGATTGCATGCATTTGCACCGAGATCGAGGACTTTTGGGAAATGTCGGTTTATGTCCTATTCGTCTTAGCAGTTGCTCGTTCTACAGCCAAGAGGCGGCTCTACCAGGACTCGCTCACACAATCGTGAAGCAACCTCGTCTCTCAGGTAATCTACATTCCGACTTGTCTCAACATCCTTTGCAGCCCGCTCCTTTTGCATCCATTTTTGCTGGGTACTAAATATCTCGAGCATGGGCGCTCCAGGCGCTTGAACAGCATAACGTCGTGTGAATTGACGGGAAAAACATTGTCGCCTGCATGGCGAAATCAAGGCTCGCACAGAGAAACCAGCCATGTTTGCAACAAACCGTGCAGTTGACTGAGCTGAGAGGCAACGCGCTCAAAGAAAGAGGCGTGGATAGAAAAAGATGTTAAAAGTACTACGTCAACATAGCTGCTAGTAGCTATACCTAGCAGTCCGCCAATCGGCGTTTGGCTCCACCGAGCTGTACCTCCGCTGTCCAAAAGTTGACCTCCACACTCCCCCACGCGACAACCAGACCGGCAAGTAGGAGGAGGAATCCCAAGCCGAGACCCTTCCATTGCAACACGTACAAATCACCATGGCACAAGCATTCCCATACACATACTATGCCTGCGACTGCTTCGACAGCAACAGCGTAGCAGGCACAAAACTCACCTCGCACGTCCTCGCTGCAACCGACGACGAAGAAGAGACGCTCGACCCACGAAACCCACGCTCCAACTACGCCCTCTACCCGCTCGAGCACCTCCTCTACTGTGAAGACTGCCTGCAAATCCGCTGCCCACGATGCGTAATCGAAGAAACGCTGAACTGGTACTGTCCCAACTGCCTCTTCGAAGTCCCCAGCTCGGTCGTCAAAAGCGACGGCAACAGATGCACGCGCAACTGCTTCAACTGCCCCGTCTGCATATCGCCCATGATTGTCAATCTGCTCGAGAACCCGGACGTCGACCACAGCACAACAGACCGCCACATCCTCGCGTGTCCGTACTGCCATTGGAGCACGGTGGAGACAGGCATCGAGTTTGAGAAGCATACGGGCGTGTATTCGCAGATTTCACGCATAGCGAATGGAGGGAAGCCGATACCATCGATCAAGGAGCGAGATAAAGAGCGAGAGAGACGCAAGGAGCTGGAGGCTCAGCGTAGAGATTCAAGAAACCCGCAGGCTTCGTCTCGTGGCTCGGCCATTGTGTATGCGGGGGGTTACGAGCCGCCCTCGCGCGACGACCTGTTTGCGAATCTCGCTGCGTTCTACAAGGCGGAATTGGACGCCCAGACGCCATCAAATCCGCTGGAGATGAACTTTTCCTCGCCAACGGCGTATTCTCGCATTATGAACTTGTACTCGACGTCGACGAAGAAGTCAAAGCGCAGCAAGCCCACGTCCATGAGAGACGCAGCGTCTGAGTTGGAAGGTCTGGTAATACACGATCCCGCTGCTGAAAACGCAGCAATCGAGCGTATCAAGCGGGGCGGCTGGAGTGCTACATTATCTCCCACCCAAAAGCTCGCCCAGCCCGACCCCTACGTACAGTTTGACGACCAGCTCCGACCCATCCCAACACTACTCTGCACAAAACGCTCCAAGCGCTGTCGGTCCTGTCGCCACATCCTCGCAAAACCCGAATCAAAAATCACATCCACACGCTACAAAATCAAATTACTAGCTCTGAACCACATCCCCCGCCTCAGCGTCCGCGCCTTACCACCCTCTTCCAACCCACCTGTCCCCGTCCCCGCCTTCCCAGGCTCCGTCCCAGCACCAGCACCCCAATCCGCCCAACCTCAGCCCCAACCCCCCTTCAACTACAACGCCCTCCGCCCGGGCATCCCCGCACACTTCCTGCTCCACCTTAGCAACCCCCTCTTCGACCCCATCCGCGTCACCCTTGCCACCAGCAGCACCACCCCCGGCAGAGTCTCGTCGCGCGTAACTATCCTCTGCCCCGAATTCGAAGTCGGCGCCAACACCGACGTCTGGGACGACGCCCTCTCATCCTCCCCCGCCCCCATGCCGCGCCGCTCCACAATCAATGCCGAAACAGGCCAGATTGAAGCCGGCAAGATTTGGGATAAAGGAAGAAACTGGACGAGTGTCGCGATTGAGGTCATACCGGGGTTCCTGGATGAGGTTAATGGCGAAGAAGAGGAGTTAGAGCCCGATGATGATTTACTGGAGATTCCCATCTTTGTGCGCTTGGAGTTCGAAGTGGATGTTAATGCCGAGGAGAGGGGGTTGGGAGATTCGAGGGGGAGTAAGGGGGAGAGGGAGAAGAGGGAGGAGGCGTTTTGGACGGTGGTGGGGGTGGGCAGGATTGCTAATGCGTAAGGGAGAGTTTTGAATGATGATGATACCCCTTTGTTCTTATGATGATGAATGTACGAAAGCGTGGGATAGAATGTTATTCATTGTGCTCGATGGCATTTCGATGGCATTTCTTCAAGACGTGGTCTCACTGTCTTTTTTCTTCTTTCGAGTCACCATTCCATCCAACGTTGCTTGACTTGCTTCTCGCTTGTGCACTGGTTTCTTATCTACCTTCTTGCTCGTCGGCTTCGCTCGCTTGCTACGCTTCGGTTCATCTTCATGTCCGCCTTCCTCATGCGCATCTGCCTTGTCGTCTTCGTGCTTGATCATTGCACCGGGTGGACCCTTTGTGCCCTTAGTCGGCCCCTCGGCGTCATCATCAAACAATTTACGCCAGCTTCCATCAAGGACTTGAGGCGAATTACCGTAAAGGTTGACATGGTACGCATTCTTCATGCCCTGCAGACAAACATCTCTTCTTGTGGGGAAATCAAACATTGGCTTGGGATATGTTTTCGAGCCAGCGTCTGCACCACTTCCAGTCCCATCACCCTTGATCAAACACCCCCACTTCTTTTGATCAGCAATCGGCGCCTTGTGCGGTTCATAAATGTATTTCTTGTCGAATTTGGCGAGTTCAGGTACGTATCGGCGTATAAAGTTACCCTCCTTGTCCCATTTCTGGGGGAAGGCTATAGGCGAGTAGCAGCGATAGAATTGGGCGAAAAAGGCGGTGCAAGAAAGCCATTGCCAATTGCCTATATTACACGCAGCTTCATGGTCGATGAGCCATTCTTCGAAGACTTCGGCGCCACGCTCCCAGTCAATGTAGCAGCCACCTCTAGTCAAAAAACACGCAACGGCGTGGCGGCCGAGGTGGTGAATCCAACCTTCCTGCGCGAGCTGCCGCATCAGTGCGTCAATCCAGGGAAATCCCGTGCGGCCCTGTTTCCAGCGTTGGAAATGGGACTCAGCTTCTGCATTGTCGATTGTGTATTCTCCGGTGATTAGGCCAGACGAGGTATCGACTTTGGAAGGAAGATGCCAGGGGATAAAGCGACAGTGAGAGTTGTTGTAGGTTTGACCAAACGAATATCCCAGTGATGCTTGTGCGCCAAAGTACATGTCGCGAAAGAGGAGTTGGCCGGTCAGACTGGTAGGTGGTTGTGAGGCTTTTCCTTTGTATTTGTCGGCTACATCTTGAGCGCGCCAATAGAAGAGACGGCAGCTCAGGGAGCCAAAGTGCATGTGCGGAGATAGAAGAGTAGTGGATTGTGGCTCGAATGCAGTCGGTGCAGTATTAGGTTTCTCAAAGGTGGCTGTGTATTCTTCATCTGCGATTATTTTATCAAGCGCTTGCAGGGCCACTATCTCTCCACCACGGTGTGGTGTTGTTGCTGGCTTCAGACCCAGCTCTTCCATAGTAGGTACAGCAAAATCGCCATTCGGTCCGGCCAGGGCAGTGTACGAAGCTTCATTTCCATCTCTTTGTATCGAGTTGATATCTGGTTGGCTTTCTGGCTTCTCCTGATCAAACTCTAAACGCACTTCTCCAGGGTCGGGCAATGACTTTGGTGCGGGGATGGGTCTAGGGACTGGCCCAATCTTCTTGGCAGCTGCTTGTACCTGGGCCATGCTCATTGTTGGTTTCCCGTTGTTATTCTTGACCAAGTCATCCGGATCATACAGTGTCCTTCCAGTCTTGGTGATGACGTCGACGCCCGCTTGCTTCGCAATCTCCATGACCTTGGCATCACGCTCTCTGGCATAAGCATCCGTATCCTTTTCAAAAACCAAATGGGTGATGTTCCATGCCTTGAACAACTTGGGAAACAAAGTTTGCGGGGCTTCGCGGATGAGGAAAAGCTTCGACTTTGGGTTCAACTTGGTGATGGATTTGGACAGGTCGTTTTGGCAGTCGATGAGGTACTGCCAGCGATTGGGACCAACACGGGCACGGTAGACATAGTGTGGGTCCCATGTCCATACAGGATAGAAACATTCAGGGTCAAGGTCCAGGGCAGCTTTCAGAGCTGGGGAATCATGTAGACGCAAGTCGGTCCGGAACCAGTAAATAACCCGCGACTTTGTCATGTTGCGTAGAGTTTGCCAGGACTCAGAAAACGAAGGGAATGAACAAAAAGAATGGAGAATTATCACAGAGGTCAAGCATGAAGAGATGCTTCCTCGACTAGTGGACGGGGAGAGTGCATGGCTGAATGCATGCGGTCATCGATCGGAGCTAGGACGCTCGCTAATCGTTGAGTGGTGTAACAAACCAATCGGCCGTATTTTTCCCTGTGCCGGACACGATGGAGAGACATGATCAGGGTGAAGGAATCGACTGTGCTGCAGACAGCGGCAGCAGTACTCCTATGTCCGGGGTTGGCATGCTTAGCGGGGAAGGGTTCAAGAAAGGGTTCGGGAAGGGTTCAGGGAAGGGTTCAGGGAAGGGGCTCAGGGGAGACAGGGTGTCAATTCTTCGTCAACGAAACACGCTGAGCCATGGTGGAGCATCGGGATGGTGGGCAGTGGGCAGGTCGCGAGAAAAAGAAAGGGCGTGGGCGTGGGCGTGACACAGGCGGAGGTTGCTTTGGCTAGTCGAGGCGGTGAAGGGCCGGCTCGCACGGGCGTTCCCCAGCGTGGGCGGGCTCTGCGGAGACGATGGGCGCAGGGCTGAGTTTGGAGCCGGAGCATGCGAACTCGGGGGGTGATGTCTGGATGAGATGCATTAGCAGAGGGGTTAGTCGGTAGATGATATGTACCTGTGTACATGCACATATGCACAGTACACTAGACGAACAGCACGACAGGAGGACGGAGGCAGGGCTGGGTCACGGGACGGACGCACGATGATGGCAGCAACGGGTGGGTGGCGCGCGAATGCCGTCAGTGGTCGAGAGAGGTCCAGGGTGGGAAGGTGGGAAAGAGGCCCGAGCTCCCAACGCCCGCTTGCTTGGGCCGTCGTCTGTTGTGACATGGCAATCTCCCAACAGACAGCCCTCGCGCGCTTGGACTTCACAAATATAGCCCTCTCCATAATCGCCTTTGCCCTGCCGTGACGCTTCAATCCAGGGCGCAACGTCTCTGCTCAACATAAAAATTTTCGTGCTGTCGTGTCACTGCTGCTGTCGCGCGGCACCCTCGCGCCCTCTGTCTGGATATATTACTGCGGGGAAACAAAAACAGCAACGCCCTTGCCTCGAAGCCATCCATCTACAGCTAGACTCTCTGACGTGGAGACCACGGACAACTGTACACCTACTACCCCTCGGTCGCCTCGACTGAACGCTCCCTCACTCCAATTTTCAATTTTTCACCTCTTTGCAACAATGGCTGAATCACTGGAAGATGTGTACATCACGGTAGGCCTTCTTGCGCCCTCAATTGAATCAATTGCACCCTGGCTAACACGCCCCACAGCTCCTCATGAGCGACTCGTACCTGCCGGGTGCAGCAGTCCTGGCTCATTCCCTGCGAGATGCCGGAACCACGAAGAAATTGGCTGTGCTCATCACCCCCGAGACGCTCTCTGAGCAGACTGTTGAAGAACTCAAGGTGCTGTACGACTATGTGATTCCAGTGGAGCGTATCCGCACTGGCAATACCGCCAATCTTTACCTGATGGGGCGTCCTGACCTAGCATACACTTTCACCAAGATTGCACTATGGAAACAGACTCAATTCCGCAAGCTAGTATATCTCGACGCCGATGTTGTTGCCCTGCGTGCTCTGGACGAGCTGTTCGACATTGACGCCCCGTTTGCTGCAGCCCCAGACATTGGCTGGCCAGATGCCTTCAACAGCGGTGTCATGGTCATCAAGCCAGACCTGAGTGTATACGAGGCTCTGCAGACCATGGCAGCTGCTGGTGAGAGCTTCGACGGCGCAGACCAAGGCTTACTCAACCAGTACTTCGAGCACCGTCCCTGGCAACGCCTCAAGTTCACTTACAACTGTACCCCGAATGCCGAGTACCAGTGGGAGCCCGCATACCAACACTACAAGCACGAAATTGCCGCTGTTCACTTCATCGGCAAGAACAAGCCTTGGTCGGGCAACCATCCTGGTGGCAGTGGTGTATACGGAGAGCTGGTGGCACGATGGTGGGCAGTACACCGGAAGCATTTTGGAGATGGACAGAGAGCTGGTGAGACACATGGCACGCAAAGTGAAGCCATTAACTCTTCCTCTTTTGTCCCTCCCCCTGCAGAAGCTTCTTCTGTCCCCACCGAGCCACCCATTATTGAAACTGAAATGGAAGTGCAAAATGTTAACCAAAGTGATGTAGGAACTCTCGAGAACCCCTGGGACCCAACCAAGTACGTACCTGCACCTTGAATTCATACCCCTCATGCTAACATTCATAGGTCCGGCCCCCCATCCCAATCGAAGCCCGAAGCCGCCAACTTCCCAACCCAGACTTATGGTTTCAGCGACGACCCTTCCCTTTTCAGAGCCCCAGGTGCCTATCCAGATGCTCCCAAGGACATGTGGTACCAAGTACCAGACAACAAGCCAGAGCCTGCTAACCTGCCTCCCCCCATCTTTCCATGGGAGCAGGCTGCCGACAGACCCCAGCCGACGCGTGTCTTTGCCGAAGACCGGTCGCCAGAACCCACTCCTGCTGTTGAGTTACCAACGCATCCCTTTTCTACTACCCACTTCGAAGGCGATGACAAGACGGCAGCTGAGGCTGCCAAGAAGGAGCCTTCACCTGAAAGGCCCTCGGGCCAGCAATGGCAATCCGCCACTGGTAATGCATGGGATAACGTTCCAGGTATCGACAATTATGTACGCGCCGTATCCGACCTCAACGGGCAGCGTGGTAAGAATGCGGCTCTCCAAAAAACGACGGGTACAGACGATATCGCCTCGCCCACGATTGAGCGAGGTCGTCGCGAGAGCCTCATCATAACCGACTTTCCTTCTGCTGTCGAGCGGCCGAGCCTTCCTGTGACACCAGCCCCTGTCCGCCGCCCCATGTTCTGGGGTGATGAGAAGAACAAGACCGGTGAATTACCTTCTGCAACAGGTGTGCCTGACCAGACCGAATGGGTGAGTCAACAATGATTCCCTCTTCCTGTTCACTCTCTCAACTGCTCCAACGACGACACGATATGACAAGAACTAACTTTGACGTGCGAAGAATCCCGAGGAGAAGCTTGACCAGTTACGACGCTCATCCCTCATTGAATTTGAGCACCTCAAGAAGGACGAACACCCTGACCCGCCACTGCGCCAACTGCCAGAGCATTCTGTCGGGGATGCTGCAAAGGGACCTGACGGCGGTGACGTCCCGGTAGGCGAGCAGGTCAAGGTCTGAGCAACGATGGTCACCCCATCTACCTTTGGCGATGACGGCCCCTCAGTCAAGGCTAGGGGGTATGTTGTCAGTCCAACCAAAATTACAGAGTAAAAATGGCAGGGTTCAGGACGAGTATGATGAGAGGATTGGAGGGTTTCGTCACTTTCATTTACCAGACGATGCGATGAAGTCATATACCTTATGTTGTTGTTCGCTGTCATGGATTTTATCACGATTCTACACTTAGCCTTGCTGGCGTTGCTGTTCTCTTCTATCTTTCATTGGCGAGCTCACATGAGCATCTGCATCTGCATTGACTAGCGATTAGCTTGCTTTACTCGTCGTCATATCAATCAGCATGAGCATGAGCATCGCCTTTTTTATCATATACGACCCCGCTTGTTCAGGAAAAAACTGTTGGTCTCTTTCCAAGGATCTAGAGTTGACGTGGAGAGATAGCCGCTGGTAACGCCGTCTATACAGAGTACCACGTAAGTATGCATGTATGGTACGCTCGGATGCAGGGTTTGCGGCACATGCATGGCATATGCATGCACGCCCCGACGGTGGGTCCGCACTAAAGAGCTTGACTTTAGCTGGCGTCTGTGCCGTTTGGTGTGTCCTCTCCCTTGGTCCCATGGCCCAGCTAGGTCATCCAAAATGCCCCGCTTGCCCCTCCCTCTGCTCGCGCCTCGGTTTGCTGCCCTCACACAACCACCTGCCCAAATAAAACTTCAACCAATCCGTAGACCGTGAATAAGCGACAATCAAACTCGCAGGCGCTTCCTCTGTCCCTCGCAGCCTTTTTGTTCCTCATCGTCGCCTGGCTTTATTGCAACACCTAGACGCGTTGCACCCTCCATCCCCAAACGCATACCCAACGCCGACTGGCCCTATCTGTACCACGGATTCGACAAGATGGCGCACCTAGACCCTTACTTCAAGCAAGTCGATGATTTGCAAAACACCTTCATCGAGAGACTGAGGGAGGCGGTGGCCATCCCCAGTATCAGTTCCGAGGACCAGAGGAGGCCTGATGTCGTCAAGGTATGTATGCCAGCTGTTTATAAGGCTATCATAGCACGTGTGAGCCGTCTGAACACTGCATCTGACTGTGGTTTAGATGGGACACTGGCTTGCCGAGCAGATCAAGGCTCTTGGTGGCACTGTCGAGCTCCGTGAGCTAGGAAAGCAGCCTGGTCGTGAGCATCTCGACCTCCCGCCCTGCCTATTGGGTCGCTACGGAAACGACCCCAAGAAGCTCAACGTCCTCGTCTATGGTCACTACGATGTACAGCCCGCAAACAAGTCGGATGGCTGGGCGACGGATCCTTTCACACTCAGCATCGACGACAAGGGTCGCATGTTTGGACGTGGCAGTACCGATGACAAGGGCCCAGTGCTTGGATGGCTCAACGCAATCGAGGCCCACCAGAAGGCTGGCGTAGAGCTGCCTGTCAACCTGGTCATGTGCTTCGAGGGTATGGAGGAGAATGGATCTGAAGGACTCGACGACACCATCCGCGCAGAGGCCAAGAAGTTTTTCAAGGATGTTGATGTTGTCTGCATTTCGGACAACTACTGGCTCGGTACTGAGAAGCCTTGCTTGACCTACGGTGTCCGTGGCTGCAACTACTACCAGATTGAGGTTTCTGGTCCTGGCCAGGATCTTCACTCTGGTGTCTACGGCGGTATGACTCACGAGCCCATGACTGACTTGGTGCGCATCATGAACTCGCTCGTCGAACCGGATGGCAAGATTCTTATCAAGGGCATCGATGAGCTGGTTGCCCCGCTTACCGACGAGGAGGCCGCGCTTTACCCACCAATTGCCTTTACCATGGACGGCCTGAAGGAGTCATTAGGCGGTGCCGTCACGATTCACGACAAGAAGGAGGATGCACTCATGTCCAAGATGCGATACCCCTCATTATCCCTTCACGGAATCGAGGGTGCCTTTTACTCTGAGGGAGCCAAGACTGTCATTCCAGCCAAGGTTATTGGAAAGTTCTCGATCCGAACAGTACCAAACATGGAGATTGACCCAGTGACGAAGCTGGTTGAGAAGCACATCAATGACGAGTTTGCCAAGCTGAAGTCCAAGAACACGATGAAGTTTAGCGTCGTACACTGCGGGAAGTGGTGGGTAGAGGACCCCAACCACCCCAACTACACTGCTGCCGCAAAGGCTGTTGAGCGTGTGTTTGGCGTCAAGCCTGACATGACGAGGGAGGGTGGAAGTATCCCCGTCACATTGACCTTCCAAGAGGAGCTTGGCAAGAATGTTTTGTTGCTACCAATGGGTAGCTCGACCGACGCAGCCCATTCGATTAATGAGAAGCTCGACAAGAGGAACTATATTGAGGGCACTAAGTTGTTGGGTGCTTACCTGCACTACGTTGCAAGCGAGATGAAGCGTGATTAGATGGATAGCAGCCGCAACTCATTGCAGGATTTTCTGGGTGATATTTATTGAGTTGTAGATAGCATATGAACAAGTAAAAAAATATACCCTTTTATACAAGTTACTGTTAAAGCTTGGTTGACAAGCGCACCACTGTATTGCACAAGTGCGGTGCAGCTTTGACCAACCACATCGGGGCGGAACAACGAAAAAAGTTCGGCCTTGAGCCTCACAACATTCCAACGTCCGCATCAACCCCATCTTGTGCACCGGCGGGCCACACCACACCCCAAGGTCCAATTGCACAACCAACACAATGGCAACATGTAAACCACTCCTCCGGGTCTGCCCATCGACCCTGCAACCCGCATCCCTCCTGCCACGGACCCAACAACGCTTCGAATCCACAACCCGACGACACAGAAAACTACTCGCGCTCCCCGCGGCACCATCCTACACACCATCCACCTCGTCGCCAACCCTGATATTCAACCCCCCATCCTCCGCCCCCAGCGTCCACCACACGCCTCTAAAATTCCTCCCTCAATCCGACAAGCGCCGCACCCTCTACGCCAACACGCACCACCAACTCACCCGCACAGCCCTCACCTCACGCACCTCACCCATCGCTTCCCCGGGGACACCGCTTCAAACCTCGAGCCACCTACCCCCGAAACCCTCTTCTGCCCTACCACCTCCAGTCCGGCAACCATACGACAAACAATACCACCTTTCCGAACAGCAAGTTGCGGAAATCAGGCAATTACGCGCAGAAGATCCGGATACGTGGACGAGGGTTAAGCTGGCGGACAAGTTTGGGTGTAGTCAGTTTTTTGTGGGGTTGGTGGCGAAGAATGAGGCCAAGGCGGAGAGGGTGGCGCGGGAGCACGAGGGCATGAGGGCGAAGTGGGGGGGAAGGAGACGCGAGGCGAGGGAGGAGAGGGGGAGGAGGAAGATGGGGTGGGGGAGGGATGAGTAAAAGGGGGAGAGAAAATAAAATAAAAAGATGGGGTTGATCTTGTATGAGTTTTTTTTTGATGGAGATGGGGAAGGATATATGAGGTCTTTGTTTGATCTATAGAAGAAAGTCATATACGACTATTATAAGGAAAAGGAAAAATAAACATGAAATCGAAGCATTCTCCTTTACTTACTTACTTGTCCTCTATCTCTACACCGTTACCAATCTTAATCACGAACCCTTTACCCCCCTCTTGATTCCCACTCCCAACCTTGCACCCTTGACACCATTCCCTCCTCTCCGCCTTGTCCCCCCCTTCAACCTCCTCAACACCCATCCCCGCCCCAACCTTGCTCCCCTCCACTTTCCTCAGCGCAATCCGTACTTCACCCATGTCCCTCCCCCAGCTCAGCAGCATCGCCGGCCTGTAGTACCGTGCACTCGTCGAACAACTACTCGTTACCAGCGCGCAGGAAAGCAGTCTCGCGAGGTTCGTAAGGTGAAAGCATAGCGTCGCTGATGCGGATGCTACTGTGGATGTAAGGGGTAAAGAGGGAAGGAAGACGTGAGTGTCTTCGAGGATGAGGGCGTGAATGGTGCGATGGGTGCTGGTGTGTGAGGAGGGATTGGAGAGGTAGGCAGGGAGGGAGCGGAGGGTTGAGAGGAGAGAGGGGTAGGTTTGGGGGTGGAAGATGTGGACGTGTTGTAATGCGTTTTTCACCCTTTCTCTCAAAGCGGGGGGTGAGGGGCGGGGGTGCGGGGTGGAGGAGAGGAGGAGGAAGAGGAGAGTGGTGTAGAGGAGCGGAATGTTGAAGTGGCGGAGGGGATCGATGAGGATTATGGCGTTTGAGGGGGTTGAGAGGGCGGTCGCGATGATGAGGGTTATCAAAGAGGTTTTTCCGGAGCCGGAGGGTTGGTGGTGGGAGGGTGGGGAGATGAGGGTGAGGATTGGGGGGTGGGTGGAGGGAGGGGGGAGGAGAGAGTCGAGGGGGGGGATGTTGAAGTAGGCGCTGGGAATGTTTTAGTTCGAGGTCTTGACGATGAAGGGGAGAAAAAAAACGGACTTTTGGTTGTTGGTTGGATGGACTAGACGGAGAGATTTGAGTACCTATTTTTATTTTCTCGTGTTAGAAATATTAAATCATGTTGTGTATGTTTTTTTGTTGTTGTTGTCGTGATGATATCTACGTACCGAGTTCAAATCCATAACTTGAACATCTGCCAGCGACTTCTCACCGAATCTCCTCGCCTCGTCCCCGTTCATCATCTTTTCTTCCTACAACCCCCGTTCTTTTTTTTTCTGAGCCTGATATTTCAATCCTCAATTCCCTCTGGACACCATTCACAGCAATCTTCTTGCTATCGAAAACAGAATGGCACCACCTGTTTCCGCGATTCCGGTCTCGGAACTGGAAATGCAGCTGAATACGCTTCCGTCTGGTCGAGCGCGGAATCCACCAATTACGCTAAGCGAGTGCGCGCTGAAAGAGCTGGTGCAGTACAAGTGCAATGTACAACCCGCGGAGAAACGAGGGGGCGTGCCGAGTGTGGTGTGTGAGCCTGTTGTGCGGATGCTGAGAAGGTGAGTGGTTGTGTAAGATGTTTGTTGAAAGAGCTTGGCAGCTTGATTGGTGGTAACGAGAGATATGGACGGGCTTCTTTTTTTTTCGTCAGAAGTTGAATATGATATTAACAGTCTCTCAGATGTCAAGGAGGACTGAGTGTCGAGACGACTGCTTGGGAAGGGTGGAAAGCAAAGCAGGAAGGCGCGACCAGCTAGACACGAGCAAGTTGCCACACCATCATGCATGGAACCTTTCAATAATCCTAAACGCAGATAGATCTGATGAAAAATCACATGACATCGATTAACCACTGCATTCACTGCATTCACGGTAAATAACACGAAACAATGGATACGTAATCAATTGATGAATAATAAGACGACGCATCAATGCCGCTCCCATGGGACAAGCAGCTATAGTACAACCAACTTCCTCCAAGAAAGTGAACAAAAACGTGATCAACGCCGGTCAAATGCCCTAAACGTGCCTTCATATCTCCAAGGCGGGAATGTCCGAATACCCAAACGCCTCGCTACCAAAATGCTTCAATATGCTTTTTCTTTCTTTCTTTTACACAGTGTGCTGCCACCGAAGAGCTGGCGTGATGACAGATATTAGACGCCGCTCCCGGATTTTCTCCAGTATTTGCGCTCGTAGTTGACGTGTACGCCTTCTTCCAGATTGACGCTACGATCGGTTGTAGGCTGCCGTGTTGGAGCATCATGTGATGTGTTCCAACCGTCATCTTCGTCCAGGTCCATCTGTGCCTGTCGTCGTTCCTCGTCCTTTTCGCGCTGGTGCTCCTCGTTCAACAAATCCGTCATGGCTGCTTGCCATAACTTGTCGCTCTCTTTCATGCGTTTGCTTCGCTTCCGCTTTCCCACATTCTGCTTCTGAACGCCCGCTTTTTGTGCTGCCATGAGCTTTCTAAGACTCTGTTCGGCCAAGATACCCTCCTCGGTTGCCTTTTCCCGAATCTTTCGCGGGTCATGTTCGCGGTTGGTGAAGACTGGTGTCGCAGAATATGTGTGCTTGGAGGGGAAGCCAGGAAAGTGTTCTGGGATATAAGGGCGCGTCTCCTTGTCTGCCTTGCCCGATAACTCGGGGCCTAACAAGGATTCGGTATCTGGGGGCGGGGCTTCTGGGGGTACGGGAGGTGCAAAGTAGGGCTGTAGTAGCGATGGCGGAACTTCGCCAGTGTCGAAATGTTGGTCGAGGGGTGCCGATCCGCGTAGACCCGAAGATGCCAGCGCGTATATCCAGTCATGTGCCACTGTTTCGGTGCGGCGCGAACTGATCATGGACTTGCGCACTTGGGCTAGAAAGTGGCTCATGTCTGGGTCAGGTTAGTCTGGGAAACTCTAATGGGCTGTGTAGCCAGCTGGCGTCGCAAGGTGAAGCCATACAGGAATCAACCAGCGCCCGGAACTGCTCCAGCGCGTCCGGGCGCGCACCCTCGAATCCCATGCTCTTGCATTGTATCGCTATTGCGCGCCGCAATTGCTGATCGAAAAAGTCCTTGCTTTCACCAAAGCTATCAAACTCGGCGCTGACAGGGTCGACGATGTGCTGGACTGGCTGCGTGTGGTGCAGTGCATGCACGACTCGCCGCTTCTTCTGCTGCGGCTCCCCATGTGTTGGCGCGTTGTCCGCCACATGCGCTCGTTTCATGCCTGCGGTTGCGCCCTCGCTGCTGGCGCTGGGAGAGAGTATGATTCCTGGCATATGCTGCTGGTGATCCCGGGTTTGGTGTTTGGGGAGGGGGTTGGTGATGTCGCAGGCCGGATGCGTGTACGCGAGGTTGGTAAAGTTATCGGTCGATGGGCGCGCAGTCGAGCGTGAGAGATGGCATGGGCTGCAAAGGCATGCACCTGCGATTGAGCCGGACGTGGATGTGCGAGAGATTCGGCGATCGATCGATGTTATTATCCCCTTCACTTGTTTGCTGGCGTCGTGATTGAGTCGGAAGCTCTGAGAGCGCAGGGCGCTAGGCCACTTTGCCTTACGTCAGCAGCAGCAGTAGTTCTCCGTCGAACCACCACAACTTCAGCATACCCGCAGACGACCTTTACCAGCTCCCGCAACCCGCACCCGCGTCCCGAAACTCTCCACTCCCCCGAAAGCGAATTCAAAATGGCCATCAAACCGATTACCGGCGTATGTGCTGCCATTGAGTGTCTTGGGCAGCAGCGGGCATGAGGCTAATGACTGGATTGCAGATGCTCAAGCGACAGATCGTGCTCGATCTCTCTGTTGCCATGGGTGCGTAGAGCTCTTGCAGTGCATGCGCGACGATTTATGGGCCTTGAAACAGGCATATGGGGTTGCGCGCGGGTTTGGGAAGCTTGACTAACAGTGAGGGCAGGTATTGGCGTCGTTGCCGGCTACGGCTGGTGGTACGGTACGTGATATCATCCTGGACTTGCAACCGCGAAGACTGCTGCTACAACGAAATTTACGACTCGATACTTACGTTCCAAGGCTACCACGTTCCCGCCGTTCGTCACCGTGACGCTTTCTACCAGAAGCTCGAGGACGAGCGCGCATCAGCTCTGGGCCAGAAATAGACGACTAGCATGCGAGCGTCGGCATGATGTCTTTGTCAATTAATCATCAGATGATGGAAAGGATGACGGCTGTGGATTGGGTGTATCCCAAGTAGAGTGGAGTCATAGAGCAAGCCAAATCAAACACGGTCAAACAGCCCTACACGTGTGTTGTTTGCGTGCAATCATATCTTGATATTACGACTTGTTTTTTTGGATGAAATTGCAACTTGTAACGCTCGAAGTGAAATCTATATGCTCACTGCCATCTTGACAGGTCGACCTGACATGTCATACTTGTGTTCAAACTAATGATGTTCGCAGACGTGATAAGGATGCGGAGCTGTATGGTATGGGTGTGGATGGATGGTCAAATGAAAGAAGAGACTGGATCGACATCTCAAGGGGCCAGTCATGAGCAGGTGCGCAGGCATCAAGGGTGTTAGAGTGCTACTGCATCTGTTGTTGCTGACTGAGATTAGTCACATGACGAATGCGAACATCAGGTTGTGCAGTGGAGCCTTCGGCAACATCCGACGGCGGTGCATCCAAGAGGGCCAGGGAAAGGTTGCGTGATGAACAGTGATACGAGGAGTACGAGAAGACTTGTACTGAAGCAGCATGCAAAGCAAGAATAAGTTGGTGCAGATGATAGCGGCATCCGCGACGGGCCGGGAAGCAGTGCAGTGAGGGTGGTGGATGGTTTATGGTACTCTACCTTGGAGGAGGCGTGACGTGGGCAATGGGCAAGGAGGCATGGCGCGATATGCAAGCATGGAAACAGGTACATGTGTGTGTGTGTGTGTGTGTGTGTGTGTGTATACTTGGTTGGAGGGCGATTCGCACTGGGGGCAGAGATGGCGAGGGCGTCTGATGACCGTGGGGGTGTGAAGCAGCGGTGGCCGAGCAGGAAACGTGTCGGGCAAGGCGTGCGATTGGCTGCATGGCTGGCTTGGTTCGTTCCCTGGCGATCACGACCAACCCATGGTGGTGGCTGCAGGGGAGCGAAGGCACTGGCCGCCAAGGATCGACGTGAACCCAAAGCGTGGGCGGGCCAGGCAGGATTCAGCAGCCATTTGCACACGTGGATCGAACGAAGCTGATGATGGAAGGACAGGCGTGCTGACAGTGAGCAGAGAAAGTGGCAAGGGGTAGGCAAAAAGCAACATCAGGGGGGGCAGTGGTTATCGACGTCGAACTGGGAACCAGAGGCGAGTGCTTTGACAGCGGCCTTGCTGGCTCGGAACGGGGGGTGGATTCCTGGCGTGCGGCGTCCTAGCGTCAGATGCTAGTCCTTCACCATGCGCTAGGGCAACGGGTAGTCGATCTAAGAGGCAGATTGAGGGTGGGCGTGAAGAAGAGGCGAGATGCGACGTTTCTGTGTTTGAGCAGGGAGGGCAGGGGGGGCATGGGAAAATAAATGGTTTTGTGTTGAGCGAAACAGAGGCGCTGTAAGGGCGGGCATGGAGGCCACGTGGTGGAGAGGGGGAAGAAGGGCAGCAAGGGAAGGGGGTGGCGGAAGCAGCGGCGGTGATTTGTGAGGAGGATGAAGGGAAGGTGGTGTAAGAGGGAAAGGGACTGGACTTGACTTGGGAGGTTTACTTACTTGGGTGTTGACTTGGGAGATTAGTCGAGCGACTTGGCTGGGGTCCAGGTCATTTCAGCGGTGCGAGGTAAGCAGATTGGACTCTTTGCCCTGATCACCGGCCGAGCGAGGAGCGGGGCGTGTGTGGGCTTTTGCGCATCGTCGACGCCATGGCGTGCGGGCGGGCCATGGGCACCGGGGTTTTGATCACAGTAGAGGGTGAAACGCACATGGACGGGCGTCGACACAAGGGCAGCACAGGCAGGTTGTGAGTTGCAGCAGTTGTAAAACAAGAGGCAAACCTAGTAGAATGGGCGCGGGTGCAAGCGCGTGAGCAGCACGAGGGCAGTTTGGTGGCTGCGGAAGATTTGGTGGGGACTGCGAGGCGCTACTAGACGGCCTGTCCAGGGCCCACGCCTGTCGCCTTTCCGCTGGGAGGCGTGCCCGGAGGCTGCCCAGAGGCCCAGATGGCTTGCTGCTGCTGGCTGGCTGGCTGTCAGTCAGTCACTCCCTCCGTCAGGTGTGCAGACTCAGATGGCGACCAGGGTCACGCTGGTGACTCGGTGCGTTGGGGTGGGTGCGTGGTGAACAGACGGGCGGACGGCCGTTGGGCTGGCGCTGCACTGCACTGCTCCCCACTGTGGGTGACGAGTAGGTATCCAAGTAGGCGGGTACCTTGTATATACACAATATACACAGTGCACACATGTACAGCCATACATGCACGTACATGTACGTACACTACACACACATACAGCAGCCATGGTTGCAGACACATGTACTGGCGCTGCAGTCATGGCCGTCCCTCTGCTGCGGCGGCGAGACGAGGCGCTAGTCTGCTTTTGGTACAGCGCAGGCCTTGCTGAGCGTTAGAAGACGGGGGGGACTGGCTAGCACGCATAGCGATCCCTGCAGGCAGGTGCGACGGCGCCGGGCGCACTTGCTCTGTGCACGCCCTGCACCTGCCTGCTCAGCCAGCACGCCCGACTGCTGTTGCCATTGCTGGTGCTGGTGCTGCTGTTGTCGCTGCTGGTGCTGGTGCTGCTACTGCTACTGCTGGTGCTGCTACTGCTACTGCTGCTGCCGTTGCTGTGTGCTGCTGTCACTTCGTCGCCAACCACACAGCACCTTGACGAAACTCGGAGAACCGCCGCTGCCTGCCTGCGACGCGTCCTCGTCCTCGTCCTCTACCTGCCTCCCCCTACCTACTCTTACCCTCTCTTCTCTACTCCCACACTACCACTACTTTTCCTCCCTCCCTCCCCCCATCCCTTCCCCCGCCGCATCGCTGCCCTTTTTCATCTGCATCGACGCGCACCCCCCGGCCTCTGCCACCGCACACAATCTAGGCGCCTTAGGCTTGGATGCTGCGACTGCTGCGACTGCTGCTGCTGCGCTAACGCCGCCGTCGATCACACACCAACGAGCCGCAGCTGGCGAGCTGTCGACTTACTGCTGCTGCTGCTGCTGCTGTGCCCTTGCCCTTCACCCTTTACCCCAAGCCTCACTCGTCGTGTTGGCTGCATGCTGGCCCTGCCCTCACCCATCCTCCTCTGCCCCCACAGCCTGCCTGCTCTCGTCCACGCACACCCGCACACCCCCTCTCTCGACCTAACCCACATCGACTACTCTCTCCTCCTCCCTCAGGCCCGTCATCTTCACCGCCCGCCCGTGGTGCCTCTCACTCGCCTACTCGACGCCCGTGCCCGTCCCGCCGTCTGCCGTCTGCCGCATCACTCCAGTCCACGTCCTGCATGAGTGTTGCTCTTCTTTACACCTCTGCGGCACCGCACCGCCGTGTCTAGAGCCCATCGTACCGCCAGTCTGCCTGCCAGCTAGCGCGTCCCTAACCCTTTGCGCGTCGCCATGAACAACCCAAACATGCAACAGAACGGCATGCAGCAAGGCCGCGCCACCGCCGGCATTCACCACTTTGTCCAGCACTATCGCGTCCAGCAACAGCAGGGCAAGATCCCCACAGGATGGCAGCAGACGACGTCGCCCGACGAGCGCGGCCAGCTCGCTCTGCAGTTCTTCACCCAGTACCGCCTGCTCAAGCCTGATATCCCAGAGGTCGAGTCGATGCGAGCCGCCCTCCAGTTTGAGACACAAAACTTCATGTCGGCCCCTTCCAAGGAACAGTACCATTCGCAAATTAAGCAGAAACTTATCGTCATGACGACCGCACGCCAACAGCAGCTGCAGCGCCTCCAGGGCGGCATGCCAAACAACATGAACAACGCCATGAACGGCATGACTCCAGCCCAGATGAACATGATGAACCAGATGGGCCAGCAGGGCGCGCGCCAGCCCCAACCACAACAGTTCAACCCGGCATTTCCAAACGCTCAGCTTCAGCGCCCCATGCAAGTCTCCCCTGTCCCCATGACACAAGGCCAATCTTCCATGGGCGTCAACGGCGCCAACCCCGTCAACATGGCCCAAGGTCAAAACGCCCAGCAACCAAACATGCAACCCAATCAGCAGCAAACACGACAGGAGCAGTTGATTATCAACCAGTTTGCGAAGAAGTTGATGGATACTTGCAAAGAGGAGGTTCGCGTCAAGTTTGAGAATGATGTCCGCGCCTGGCCTGAAGACAAGAAGCAGCAGTTGCTCAACCAAGGAATCAACCCCCTCTTCCTCCGCTTTCGTCAGCATGCTGAGATGCTCTACCGAAGGGGCGCGCTGAATCAGCCCACAGCTGGCCAGAATAATGTCGCCATGCAGGGAACACCTCAGCAGAACCGCATGCAGGGACAGCAGATGAATATGAATCAGCGCCAAGCCAATCAGGATTTTGATTTCACTGAAATCGCCAATCGGCAAATGGAGGCTATGCGAAGCCAGGACCAAGGTACAACGGTAGTACCCGCGAGCAACAACCCAAACAATGGTGGGCAAATGGGCGGATTCCAAGGTCAGAATCCACAGCCTGGCCAAGCTCCAAATGCAATGGCACAGCGCCAGGCAGAAGCGTTTCACCGCCAGGCACAAGCGCAGCAGGCACAACAAGCACATGCTCAAGCTCAGGTGCAGGCGCGGTTAGAACAACAACGCCAACAGCATGTAGCTCAGGCAGCGCGTAACCAGCAGAATCAGTTACTGCAAGGCCAGATTGGCGGCTTGAACCTCCCGCAGGGCACTCAGCAGCCTAGTCCTGCCATGCCTATGCTGAACCGGCCAATGCCTCCACCAGGTCAACCAGGCCCTCCAGGAACGCCGCAGCAACGTCCACCCCAGGCTCATGTTCCCATCATGACACCACAGCCCGGGCAGGCTGATCCAAACTTGACCGAGCTCATGCGACAAGCGCAGCAAAGAGCTGCTGCTGTCCAGCAGGCCAACCAGCAACCGCTGACCGATCAAGTCCGCATGAACATGATGCCCCCTGACCTGGATGCTTCTGTAAAGCAACAGCTACTCAAGGTGCCAGAGCATCAGTTCCGTGTCATCCTCCAGAGCTACATGATGAATCTGCGTAGGAATAATGGCGGTATGCCCAATGGAGCATTCCCAACTGGACAGCCGAATGCAGGCCAGCCAAACATGGCCTTCAACCAGCAACAACAACAGCAGCAGCAGCAACAACAACAGCAACAACTGCAGCCTGGCGTTGCTGGTCAAATGCTTGGCGGTCCTAATATGCAGAATATGGTCCGACCTGGTATGAATCTCGCACAGCCACCACCTGGTACTGGTCCTCAAAATCCCATGGGTGCCCAGCGCGGTCCTATGCCGAACCAGCAACAACGTGTTGCTGCTGCATCCAACCTGCTTCGTGCGAATCCCGGAATCATACATACCACCGATCCTAAGCCATTCCCTCCCAACGTGCTAAACGCGCAAATTCGACAAAGTCTTCCACCAGACGTCAGAACTTGGCAACAGCTCAAAGCCTGGGCTAGTCAGAACCCTGCTCTCGTGCCTGGCGTTGACGGTCAAAAGCTACTCATGTTGCAAGTTCTACACTTCCAGGACATGGTCAGGCAGTCGAATGGCGTCGCTGGCGTCCATCCGACACCACAGCCTGGCCAGGGACTCGTCCCACCAGGGCAGATCAACCCAAATCAAGGCCCTGTGAGGACACCTCAGCAGCAGCCGAACATGCAGAATATGGCGGCACTTCAGGTCACTCCTCAAGAGTTGCAGCAGTTCCGCGCAAGAATGGTTGGCCAGCCACAAGCTAACCTGCCAGACGACCAACTGCGCGGCCTTATGATCTCCATAAGGATGAAGAACCTCCAACAGCAGAGACAGCAGCAACAGCAGCAATCTGCGATGCTCAA